CGAGGCTAGGACACCGCGCGGGCTAGCTCTGCCAGTCTCCCGAGGCCCAGGCGCAACCCGAGTCGGGGACGCCGAGTTAGGCCGGGCACATGGCCAGCCCCCAAGCTATTGGAGACCCCCTTCATAGAAATCCTGCCCCAATTCGGGGTTTCCAAAATAAAGAACTCCAAAATCAAGCTCGGACCCAATGGAGAGGGGATCCCCGAAACTTGGACATCTTCATTTTAATACCTCCCTGGAAACCGTGAGATTTCCACATTCCACGGAGCTGTTATATTGAAATTTTTCCAGTAAAAGCCCCTCAACTGAGACTCTGTTAATAGTTTATCTTCCCATCTTCTGCATCTGAACCCAGTTGGTCTTACAGTGTAAAGGGGTTTGGATGCTGGAGGAGGAAGGTTGTGTTGCTAGATGAGGAAGAGTGGTCAGGGTTGGCTGTGGAGTCCCTGATCTTGATAGTAGGAGAGGGGCTCTCCCTCTAGATATCCCCCCAAATTGCATTTCCTCTCAGGAGGAGGTAAAATGATGAGCTACCTTCTTCTCCTCTGACCCCCAGAAAATCCACAGCCAGACTCTAAAACCAAGAATTTCTGCCTTTCATTATAACCATCACAGAGCACTATGCCCCTGACTGATGCCAAGGTCCTTCAAAGCTGGAATACCAAAGGGTTGCTCTAAGTAACCCCACCTACTCTACTCCTGGTGTAGAGGGCCACCCCAGAGCCACCTCAAATGTCTGCTTATAATACACAATCCATTTTCAAATATTTGCTGGCTGGTGACTTTTTCTACTGACTGTCCATCACTTCCGTCCCCATGCTTCTTTTCTTCCCAGCAAAAGCACAGTCTTCTTAAATATTCTGCTTCTTTGATGGGAGAAGTCCTGTTTGTTTAATGGAAACAAACTCTTCTACTTAAGATTTAGGACAAGAGTACCAGAATTTGCCCCTCAGGAGCTGAGCATGGTCATGGCTCATATCCCAGCAACTGAGGGAGGCTAAGGCAGGAAGATGAGATCCGGAGTTCAAGATTAGCCTCAGCACTCACCGAGGCCCTAAGCAATTTAGTGAGACCCTATCTCAAAATAAAAAAGAGCTGGGATGTGGCTCAGAGGTAAAGTGTCAAAAAAAAAAAGACTTTGTTCTTCAGTCTTACACTCTTCTCTAAATAGTTGCACAATGTGGGAGCAAATCAGTTTTATCCTTGCTCACCTGTTCTCTCTTCAAGAGACAGAGGAAGGGGAAAGAATTAGATCAGGGGTTCTAAGTCTTGAACTTAAATAAAAACAAGAAGGTCAATGAAGCTTTTAGTATTTTTTCTGGGATAGAGGTCCATAGCTACATTAAAAAAAAATTTTTTTTTTTGGAGGTGCTGGGGATTGAACCCAGGGCCTTGTGCACATGAGGCAAGCACTCTACCAACTGAGGTATACCCCCAGCCCATACAATGAATTATTTAAGGCCAATGTGACTGACCGTGGACTCCAATATAGTGGAACTACTTAAAGATACCTCCCTGTTCAACCAGTCTGGGCTTCTACTGCTGAACAGGTTTTAGGAGAGTGGAAGCTGCCTGTAGTGCCAGGGTCCCGCAAGGGTCCCAAGGTCCTCCCTCCCTCTCCTGCCCCTAAGACATCGTTCCTCTTTCTGGTCATCACTTACCTTATAGCAACCACACTTCCAAAATTATCCTCGAGATATTCACTTTCCAGAGAACATGTGGAACATTTGTTCTTGGCTGGATGAATAGAAATCCAAGTGACAGGAGGAAGGTAGAAGTAGAGACGGCAGAAGAGAAAAAGTTGGAGACTAATTTGGTTTATAGTTAGAACCAACTGTAAGTCCCAAATCCAAAGGGTATTTGAAATAGGAGGGGAGAGGAGACATGGTCTCTCAGAAGCTCTGTGAGGAGAATGTGTGTTTCTTCCCTGGAAGCCTTCCCAAGAAGCAGTGAGGAAGCCCAGTGGCACAGAATGACCTCATTTAAACTTGATTACATCTGTAAAGGCCCTACTTCTAGATAAGGTCACATTCATAGGTACTAACCTTTAGGACTTGAACATATCTTTTGGTGATGGTGGGGACACAATTCAACCCAGTATTAGGCACACAGGTTGTTGTGTATAGGAGGTACTCCAAAGAATAGACACTTTCTCCCAGTGTCTGGGCATTGATGAACACTCTTTTTGTAAATCCTTAACTTTTAGCAAACTTTGGGGTTTATGCAAAACATGAACCCTGGGGGAGATTGTTTGATTAAGTTTTAGGATTGCTTTAACTAATGACCTTGATATGACTTTACTTCTGTAGGTTTTGTTTGCAAGCACTCTACCTAGCCCTATTTCTATTCCACACTTTTATATTCTTTGGAGTACCTCCTATACACAACCTCCTTTGTACTTAATATTGGGTTGAACTGTGTCCCCACCACCACCAAAAGATATGTTCAAGTCCTAAGGGCTAGTACTTATGACGGTGACCTTATCTGGAAATAGGGTCTTTACAGATGTAATCAAGTTTAAATGAGATCATTCTATATCACTGTGCTATATATCTATCCCTTTCATCAATACTAATCTTGTTTACTGTTGCTTTGGTTTTTTTTTTTTTTTTTTTTTTTTTTTTTTTTTTTTTTTTTTTTTTTTTTTTTTTTTTTTTTTTTTTTTTTACTGTTGCTTTGTAACAAACTTTGAAATCAGGAAGTGAGAGTCCTCCTAATTTGTTATGGGTTTTATTTTTTTTTCTTTTCTTCTAGGTTGCCACCATTAATCTGGTCTCTTAAAATCAATATGAATTTTAATATCAGCTTGTTAGTTTTTATAAAGAACTTATCTGTAATTCTGATAGGGTTTGCAATGATTCTATAGAAGAATTTGGAGTTTATTGCTATCTTAACAATATTATATCCATGAACATTTATTTAGTAGGTTTCTTTTTTGTACTGGGGGCTGAATCCAGGCCACTTTATCACTAAGCTACATCTCCAGTCCTTTTTATGTTTTTTTTATATTGAGACAAGGTCTTACTGAGGTGCTCAGGCTGGCCTCAAAGTGCAATCCTCCTGCCTTATCCTCCAGAGTCACTGGGAGTATAGGTGGGCACTGCTGCACCCAAGAGTGTTTTTAATATTTTTCAACAATGTATTGTAGTTTTCCAGAGACAAGTTTATACTTCTTCCATTGCATTAGTATTTTATCGTTTTTAAACTATTGTATATTTTTTTCTTAATTTCATTGTCAAATTGTTCATTGCATTTGAATAAAAATATTAGTGATTTTTATATTTTAATAACAAGCTCATACTGGATTAGAGTGGGACCCTATTCAATGACTGGTGTTCTTATAAGAAGAACAAAAATTCAGGCACAGAGGCACATCCACTGGGAAGCATGCCAGGTAAGGAGGAGGCAGAGACTAGAGAGAGATTTTCTACAAGCCAAAAAGAAAACTGGAGAGACCCCTAGAAGCCAGGAGAGAGACCTGGAGCAGAGGCTCCCTGAGAGACTCCAGAAGAAACCAACCTTGCTCACTCCTTGCTTTTAGATTTCTGACTGCAAGGACTATGAGCCAGGAAGTGCTTGACTTGAGTCCCCCAGTCGGTGGCCATTCATCACGGCAGCTCTGGGAGGCTCCTGCATGTCCCATCAGGATGGCAGTGTGAAGGAGAAGGTGGTATCCCGCTTGCTTCACACATTGCCCCCATCTCTCACCCTTCCACTGCTGAGTATTTCCCCACAGATTTACCCACTGGTCTTAGAAACCTTGAGCAGAGCCTGCCTTGCTCTGGACCATCCCTGCATACTCCCTGCCTCGCCGTCTACCTGTGTTCTGCCAGGCCTCCTTCCCCCTTCTCAAAGACCCTCCCTGTTCTGCTCCCTTGTCCTTAGGAAGGAAGGGACTCCCGTGTCAGTGCTCTGGTTGGCACTTTGGAATCCTGCTTGGACCACAGCTCCCCACAGGGGACACTGTGGTTTCCCGTGAACCTTTGGATGCCACCCGTGGGGCCTTTCCTTCACACACCCGCTAGCCCTGTCCCATGAGACATCTTCCCTTCTAGATCATCCTCCTGGCACACTCTCTCTCCTTTCTCTGGCTCCTTTCTCTCTGAGGCTGACTCCAGTCCTCTTCTGTCCACATGCCCCTTCCCTCCTCTAAAGGGGAAGTTCTACATGACGCTGACTGGTAGTGTCCCCAGGGTGGCAACTTACCTTTCTGAAACCTATATTTCTGCATCTTTAAATTGGGAACGAACATCACCCATCGGTAGGGTTTTAGGAGAATTAAATAATATCACTGACATGCCGGGTGCTTTGGTACTTGCCTGTAATCCCAGCGGCTTGGGAGGCTGAGGCAGGAGGATCATGAATTCAAAGCCAGCCTCAGCAACAGCAAGGTGCGAAGCAACTCAGTGAGACCCTATCTCTAATAAAATACAAAATAGGACTGCGGATGCAGCTCAGTGGTTGAGTGTCCCTGAGTTCAATTCCTGGTTCCCCAAAGGAAAAAAGAAATCCTAAATAATAGCACTTAAAGGAGCCCTTGACAATTCCTGGCATGGGGTGGGCATGTGAATTCCCTCATATGGCACTCATGCAGGCCTCTACTGCTGATCAGAATGCCAGAATGAAAGGTTTGCTTAGCCACTTACTAGCTGGATAAAGTTAAATAGACTTCTCTGTGCCTCAGTTTTGCCATGCGTAAAATAGAAATGAACAACCACTTGTAGTGGCACACATTTACAATCCCGGAGACTCAGGAGGCTGAGGCAGGAGGATTGCAAGTTAGTAGCTAGCCTCCACAACTTAGCAAGCCCCTGTCTCAAAAATAAAAATAACTGGGGATGTAACTCAGTGGTAAATTGCCCCTGGTTCCATTCCAGTATGCCCACAAAAAAATAGAGATGCTGATAATAGTATCACAGTACTGCTCCATCCAGGGTAATTGCCGCTTCTTCTGGCATCTCTGTAGGAAGACCGAGTCTGCAGTGTGTAGCAACAGGTTTTGCACAGACATTTGCAGTTTCCTGGATGAACGGGTTGGATTCTGGCTCAAAGATTCCAGTTATCTTGCGTTTAGATGGTGAACTCAGAGGCCCCTTGGACTTTATTCTCTGCTGTATCTCCTTAACACTGCACCAGATATAGGTGCTCAAAAATTTTACTTTTTTTTTTTTTTGTACTGGGGATTGAACCCAGGGGCCCTTTACCACTGGGCTACATTCCACTCCTTTTGTTTGTTTGTTTGTTTGGACACAGGGTCTCACTAAATTGCCAAAGCTGGACTCAGAACTCACAATCCTCTTGCCTCACTCAAAGAATAGCTGGAATTGCAGGCTGATACCACTGTTTTTTTTTTTAAACTCATCTGCATTTATTACTCTTTTTTAAAAATATTTTTTAGTTGTTGATGCATCTTTACTTTTATTTATTTATATATTTGTATGTGATGCTGAGAATCGAACCCAGTGTGTCACACATGCTAGGCAAGCACTCTACCACTGAGCTACAATCCCAACCCATGTATTTATTACTCTAAATAAAGCAGAATGTTGACTTGAGTACTACCTATTTCCATTCATAAGCCTTACTGAGTTAACTATTTTTTTTGTTGTTGTTACTGGGGGAGTGAACTCAGGAGTATTCAACCACTGAGCCACATCTCCAGCCCTATTTTGTATTTTATTTAGAGACAAGGTCTCACTGAGTTGCTTAGGGCCTCACCTTTGCTGATGCTGGCTTCAAACTTGCGATTCTCCTGTCTCAGCCTCCTGAGCCTGGGATGACAGACGTGTGCCACCGTGCCCAGCTCTGCTTTAGTTTTTGAATGGCTTTGTAACACACCTAAGGGAGGAATAAGTTTTGTTCCTCTAAATACGTTTCTTTGGAAAACAAGCCCTGGAGAATCCCCCAGCCAAGTTATTTCAGTTTAACATACTTGGTTCTAGAGGACTAGCACATGCAGAGTGGGAAACTACAAGGGATGGAGCCTCTTTAACAAATATTTTTCTTAAACAAGGAGGTCTATCTTGGAACACTTCAGGGACAAAAAGATTTGGTCTGGTTTACAAAGGGATACAACTGGTTGGTAGCAAACACTTTAGATCACAAAGTTAATAATACGTTCCATGTCTTAGAACAAACATCTCAACCTGTTAAAAAGACTAATACCACTTTGAAGGAGGGCTTCAGTGCAAAACTCATTCATACATTCATTCATCTATTAATTTAAAATTATCTATTGGCTGGGCCGGATGGTGCATGCCTGTAATCCCAGCGGCTCAGGAGACTGAGGCAGGAGGATTGCAAATTCAAAGCCAGCTTTAGCAACAGTGAGGTGCTAAGCAACTCAGTGAGACCGTGTCTCTAAATAAAGTAGAAAATAGGGCTGGGGAAGTGGCTCAGTGGAGTGCCCCTGAGTTCAATCCCCACTACCCACCCACCCCCAAATAAACAACAAAAAGTATCCATTGAGGGGCTGGGTATAGTGCACGTACCTATAATTCCAGCCACTCAGGAGATTGAGGCAGGAAGATTGCAAGTTGAAGGCTAGCCTTGGCAACTTAGTGAGAACTTTTCTCAAAAGAAAAAAGAAGAAGAAGAAGAAGGTTGAGGATGTAGGGATGTAGCTGAATGGTCAAGCATTCCTAGGTTCAGTTCTCAGTGCTGCAACATAAAACAAACAAACAAAAAAACCACCAGTATCAGCAGTCTGGGGGTGCAGCTCAGTGGTGGTCACCTACTTTGCAGGTGTCCAGCCTTGTGTTCATTCCCCTGCACAATGACAACAACAACAACAACACACACACACAACACACACACACACACACACACACACACACGAAATATCAGCTTAAAAATAAACAAGAATTTGGGAAGGTGGGCAGCTCAAAAGAAGTGACATAAAGCCACCTCTGGGGGGCTAGGCACCAGGAGCCCCACCCTTTCCAGCCTAACCATGCACAAAAGCTTACTAGATCCTACTAAAGATGTCCCTGCTCAGAAATCCAGGCCAGTGCGACAGGCAGCAAGACAAATGTGGCCCCCAGGGCACAGCCCTTCCAGTTTCTGCAAGCACAGTCCTGCCTGGGAGCCTGAACTTTCTCATTCAGAGGCAGTTCTTCACATTTCCACTGAGAGGTGAACCTGCTGTGGGGCGCCATCTGAGCCTTACCAGCCTTCTGGCAAAAGGGTTTGATGTCCCTGCTACTTGCTGTCATTGTAACTTTCTATATCCCGCTTATTAACATTTGTCAACTAGTATTGTTACATTGACTGATTTACTTCTCTGTCTCCCAGTGGTAGGCAGAATCCCCACCCCCAGAATAGACACCCATGCCCTAAATTCCTGGGATCTGTGAATAGGTTTTGTTCCATAGCTAAAGGGGCTTTGCAGATGTGATTAAGATTATGGATTTAAAATCCGGAGAGTATCCTGGATTACCCAGGTGGGTCCAACGTAATCACATGAGCTCTTAAAAACAGCATTTTTCTCAGGCTGGGGGCAGAAGGGGAAGGCAGAGAGATTCCAAGCATGAGAAGGGTTTGATTAATCATTGCTGACTGTGAAATGTGAGGGTGCAGATGCAAGGACCAGAGAGGCTCCAGGAGCTCAGTGTGGTAGCCAGCTGACAACTGGTCAGAAATGGGGACTTCCGTCCTAGAGCTGCAAGGAATTGGATTCTATCAACAACCTGAATGAGCCTGGAAGTGAATTCTTCCTAGCACCTCCCATAAGATCTCAGCCAGCCATCTCCTTGTTTTTAGTCTTGTGAAAGAGACCCTGAGCAGAGAAACCAGCCAAGCTCACCTGCACCTCTGATTTCCAGTGCTATAATATACTGGAAATTTTGTTATGGCAGCAATAGATGACTAACAATTTCCGACGGAACAGGAGCTCTGCTGGGGCAGGAGTGGCATTGATTTATTCATTGCTCCACCCCACAGACCTAACCATAGCTCCTTGCGCTTGACAAACACTCAGCACAGTGCATTGCCTGGATGAATGGAAGCCTCCCCTTCCACCAGGACTGACTTTTGGAGTAATTATTTGAGGCAGAATCTGCTGTTCCACCAGTGACTGGAGGTGAAGCTTTCAAGTAAAGACACCTAGACACTGGGCCCTGTCTGCAGACAGAGTGAGCTGAAGCCCCAGGGGCCCCAGTCCCTGGATTTTATGTTCCAATGAATGAGCAACAGCTGTTGCTGGAGAAACAGTTCCTGGAGCTCAGCTCCACGTGTGTGGCTCCTTGGGAAGTCAGCAAGTCTGCCCGCCAGAGTGGATATGCAAGAATGTAGGGGCATCCAGCACAGGCCTGGGACCATTTCCATGTGAGTGTGGGCAGCTATGAGTGCAAACTCAGGCTTGTGAGGGTGTGCAGCCATGGGTGTGTGTGCCCGGAGAAGCAGTCCTTCCTAGGATGGGTGCTCTGTCCCACCCAGGAAATCACAGGTGGCCCAACATCTGAGAGGTGGCATTTAAGAGTTTCTTAGAAAATTTCCTTAAAAGAATGACTACCCCAAGATGCTAAAAATGGAATTCTACTTATAAAAATGCATAAATCCACACAACTTTTTAGGAATACTATGACTATGAAATAAACTAGACAAGTTAGGGGAAAAAAATGACCTTAAACTTGGCTCTTGTTAGTTTCTCAAATATTGAAGACGTTTTCCTTCCAGACTGATTTTGTTCTTAGTTCAGGAGTGGCTCAGAGGATTTGCTTTTAGTGTTTTTTTAGTTGTCAATGGACCCTTATTTTATTTATATGTAGTGCTGAGAATAGAACCCAGTGTCTCAACAGATGCTAGGCAAGCGCTCTACTACTGAGCCACGACCCCAGGCCCAGCTCAGAGGGCTTTAAAAGGGGATCTAGGAGAGGCCCATTACTAGTAATGCGTCTTGCCCTTGTAGAGTACGTGGAGCAAGGCAGGATTCTGGGATCAGAGATTCAAAGCATTGCAGAACTTTAGATTAATTCTTAGGAAGGATTAACTAATGACTTCATAAATAACTATTTACTGAGGGGCTACTGTGTGCCACATGCTAGGCTAACCCTAAGTCTACCAACCTCACTTTGCAAACAAATTGCTGAGAAAATGCCCCAAACCCAAGTCAATTACTGTTTATCACCCAAATTCACTGCTCTTTCCCCTGGAGCCCAGGCTTTTCATTTTGAAGTCACCATCATCAGTTTTTAACCCCAACATATAAACTTCCTGCAGCAACTCAGCCAGGCCTATGCCCCAGCTCCTCATCTCTCTCTCTCTCTCTCTCTCTCTCTCTCTCTCTCTCTCTCTCTCTCTCTCTCTTTCTCTCTCTCTCTCTCTCTCTCCCAAGGGTTGAACTCAGGGGCACTCAAACACTGAGCCACATCCCAGCCCTATTTCGTATTTTATTTAGAGGGTCTCACCGAGTTGCTTAGCGCCTCACAGTTGCTGAGGGTCACAATCCTCCTGTCTCAGCCTCCCAAGCTGCTGGGATGACAGGCATGCGCCATCATGCATGGCTAGTTCCTCATCTCTTATCCCACCTTCCTGTTAAAACACTCCTAAGGTGTGTCTCCTACAGAAACCACTTTGATGTCACATTTGGAAGAGATCTGACTGTATGTAATAACATCTTCCCCAAAGAACCTGCCTTTAACAACAGAGCTGGACTTCAGTTTTCTCCAGGAAACCCAGTGGGTCAAGCAGACAGCCTCCTGGCCAGCTGGCCTTGTGTCCATGCTCTATGCACTGTGGGATTGGCCCCTTGAGAACTATTCTCATTTCCCCTAGAATCTTTACAGGGTCCCCACTGCATTCAGGACAAAGTGGAGCTCCCCAGATGGATGCCCAAGGCTGGCTGTCCTCTGACTCCATCTCCGATCACTCCAGCCATGCTCCAGCAGCTGACCCAGTCTGCTGTACGATGTGCCCCTCTCCCTGTTCTTGCCCACTTCTCTGCCTCCTCTTCACCTGCCCAGACTCCTCTCATTCCTTCAGGCCAGGAGAAACCCCCATCGTCCCTGCTTTCCCTCCTCAGAAGTCCCAATGTGCTTTTGCTTCAAATTGCTTTTCTTCCCTCTTCTGCCATTGTCTACTGCCATCCATGATTTGTGAGTTTTCCTGGGATGTGCTCTACCTGGAAGTCAGGAGCCTCTGCCTTATCAATCCTTCACAGTGCCTCTGCTAGTAGAAATCTGGAGTACATGCTTCAGAAATACTTGAGTGTTGATGGCAGGTACAGTGGCTAATCCCAGCAACTTGGGAGGCTGAGGCAGGAGGATTGCAAGCTCGAGGCTGGCCTCAACAAACTTAGCAAGATGCTTGCAACTTAGGGAGGCCCTCTCTCAAATAAAATAAATTAATTTAAAAGGCTGAGGATGAGGCTCAGTGGTTAAGCAACCCTTGGTTCAATTCCCAGTATCCCCCCAACACACAAAATAAATAAATAAACAACAATAACAACAACAACAACAAAAAACCCTTGAGGGTTGAAAGTACCAAATCGAGGGAAAGTGGGCAAGAGACATAGAGGTAATTTCCACAGACACCCACTTAGGTCCTGCTTTCCCCAAATGAGCCACACTTGCTCTGACTCAGGAGCAGACATTTGCCTTCCTGGTACTCATAGCATTATGTATTTTTGGGACTGGGTTTAGTGACGGCCTCCCATGGACTATGTGCTCCGCAGAAAACCAGGTTCACCTCTGTGACCCCAGCATCTAGCCTGATAGGGGCTCACAACTATGAATTGAAAGAATGAATTGGGGACTGGGGTTGTGGCCCAGTGGTAGAGCACTCGCCTAGTATGTGCAAAGCCCTGGGTTCGATCCTCAGCACCACACATAAATAAATAAATAAAACAAAGGGATTGTGTCCAACAACAACTTAAAAAAAAAAAAAAAGAGAGAGAGACTAAATTGGGAGGGATGAGATCCCCTGTTCTGCTTGCTCGTGATTTGCACTCAGAGGCTCTCAACATTTGCTCTTCTCCAGTTTAGGCCGGGACTGGAGCGCGAGAATCGGTGTCTTCAGGGTAAATAGGACCCTGGCCACAGAGCAAGTTAGAACCCTTTCTTGGGTGCTCCCTGTGTGGCAGGCACCATACAGCTGCCTCACCTGTAGCCTCGGTGACTCCTCACTGCAGGCAGGAGACACCAGGACAGGCTCCACCGCACAGATGAGGGTCCTAGGGCTCAGCACTCTACTCCTCCCGGCTGTGCATGGCTCTCATCTTGCAAAGGAGAAAAATCTCTAACCGGGCGGTTGCTGGGAAGTCCCAGAAAAGCTGTTGAAAATGCATCAAATCTTCCCCCGTCGTCAATGGATTTTTAAATGTGTATTTATTTACTTATTTTGCGGTATGAAGGATGAAACCCAGGATTTTCCGTATGCTAGACAAGTACTCTACACCCCCAGCTACCCCTGCCTTCAAAGGAAATAAATACACCTCCTGGGGCACAACTAGAAATCAACAACTGGTCTGTCAGTGCTGACATATGAAAATCAGATGCAAAGGGCCCATGCCCCCCCCCCCAGACGCTTAGAGCTAAGGAGAGTGTTCCAAAGCCAGAAGCAGCCTGCTAGAAGGGCCCATGCAGCTTAGGCACTCCGGTTTGGGTAAATCAGAAAAACACCTGGGCCCCAAAGCTTCCAGAGCCTTCCCAGGCATGCCCTCAGTCGTCCCTCCTCTGCCATGAGGCAGCGACAGTGCCTCTGCTCCACACTGAGGCTCAGACAGGCCAGTCAGCTTGCTCAGGATCATGAAGCTGGAAAGTGATGGGCTCAGCCACCTCCAGAGCTCCCCGCAGGGGTGGGCAAGACTACCCTCCAAGCAAACCTCCTTTGTGTGGAAGCTACCAGATGAACAAGGGCTGTCAGCTTCCCGCTGGGAGCCATGTACCCTGTGCAGCTTTATGGGGGAGAGGGGGGCGTTCCTTGGAGGGAAAGCTCCTATCTGTGGAGTCACGTTTAGGCAACAGTGACACAAGGTGTTCTTGCAGCAGTAAGACAGCAACACCTGGCCATTCCCGAGGCGGCTGCCTAGGTGCAGGGCCATGAAGTCCCTTGAAAGATTGTGCATGTGGACAATGAACAAACTATATGTAAAAATAAGATTCTGACCCAGAAACCAGAAAGCCAACCCACTGTCTACAACAACCAGTCCAGGAAGCCAAACAACATTGCCTGTAGCAACTGGCCGCAAAGGGCCAGAACTTCATCAATAACTGACCATTTCCTTAGTTTTTGCCCCCTCTTGCAATTTAGGACCAACCCTAAACAATCACATAAGGTGTCCTGAGTCTAGTTAGCCAACCTCAAGCTTCCTGTGCCAACAGCTGCCCATCATCATGCACCTGAAGATTCCCCTTTCTATTATGGAGCTTCCCCTCATTCCCACCTGCCTGGCTGTCTTATCTGTGAAATGGGAGAATAACCCTGGGCATAAGTCTCTTAGGAAAAGAATGCCTAGGGTTGCAGCCCACACCCTGGGTCACCTTTGATGGACGTTGCAGCCACATAACACACTTCCCTGTGGTTCAGTACATTCCTGGGGATAGCCTCAAGTCCAGATCCTTCATTTTTTCCAGGAAGGAGCCTGACATCCAGGCTGAAAAAATGTTTACTTACCCAAGGTAGTCTCCTCGAGGTCTCTAAGAAACCGGCCGTGGTCTCAGGTTTCCTCCCTCCAACTTCCCAGGAAAGCAGCCTCGGGTCTTTTCAGGAACCCCACAGGTTGCAGCTTAGATCTACTGTGAAACTAAAGAGAGCAGAAGTGCGCTCAGGACTGAGTTGCCAGGAGCCAAGGGAGCTTCTCAACCAGGAAAGGCCAGTCCTGGCCCAGCCACAGAGCCGTACCATCCATGGGGATGGTTTCCTTCTTGGTTTTAGGGAGTGCGGGCCCCACCCGGCCTCTCTGAGCCTCTTTAATTCAGGGTGTCTGGCTGCTTCTGGAAGAGTCCCTTCTTCCCTGGTGCGGGCTCCACCCAAGACTGGCTCCACCTTCTCACTGCCAGACCAAAGCAAAAGGGGAATACAAAGCCCAGTGCTGACCTCTTTGTAATCCTGCACCATCTGCTATCTTTTTTTTTTTTTAATATTTATTTTTTATTTGTTTATTTATTTATTTATTTTATTTTTTTTTAGTTTTCGGCGGACACAACATCTTTGTTTGTATGTGATGCTGAGGATCGAATCCCGGGCCGCATGTATGCCAGGCCAGCGCGCTACCGCTTGAGCCACATCCCCAGCCCAAATAATATTTATTTTTTAGTTTTAGGTGGACACAATATATTTTATTTTTATGTGGTGCTGAGAATCGAACCCAGTGCCTCACACATGCCAGGTGAGCGCGTTATCACTTGAGCCACATCCCCAGCCCCCACCCGCTATCTTAATAAATTTAAATGTAAAAACTCTTTTTTTTTTTT